GGTGACAGTGACAGGGACAGTGACAGGGACACAGTGACAGTGACACAGTGACAGTGACACAGTGACACAGTGACAGTGACACAGTGACACAGTGACAGGGACAGTGACAGTGACACAGTGACAGTGATCTGGTCCCTGAGCTCGCTGCCCTTCGACTGCACCCAGGCACTGCCCGGGCCCAAACCCATTGGTCAGTGACGGTGACAGTGACAGGGACAGTGACAGGGACACAGTGACAGTGACACAGTGACAGTGACACAGTGACACAGTGACAGTGACACAGTGACACAGTGACACAGTGACACAGTGACAGTGACACAGTGACAGTGATCTGGTCCCTGAGCTCGCTGCCCTTCGACTGCACCCAGGCACTGCCCGGGCCCAAACCCATCGGTCAGTGGCGGTGACAGTGACAGGGACAGTGACAGGGACACAGTGACAGTGACACAGTGACAGTGACACCGTGACACAGTGACAGTGACACAGTGACACAGTGACAGGGACAGTGACAGTGACACAGTGACAGTGATCTGGTCCCTGAGCTCGCTGCCCTTCGACTGCACCCAGGCATTGCCCGGGCCCAAACCCATTGGTCAGTGACGGTGACAGTGACAGGGACAGTGACAGGGACACAGTGACAGTGACACAGTGACAGTGACACAGTGACACAGTGACAGTGACACAGTGACAGTGATCTGGTCCCTGAGCTCGCTGCCCTTCGACTGCACCCAGGCACTGCCCGGGCCCAAACCCATTGGTCAGTGACGGTGACAGTGACAGGGACAGTGACAGGGACACAGTGACAGTGACACAGTGACAGTGACACAGTGACACAGTGACAGTGACACAGTGACACAGTGACAGGGACAGTGACAGTGACACAGTGACAGTGATCTGGTCCCTGAGCTCGCTGCCCTTCGACTGCACCCAGGCACTGCCCGGGCCCAAACCCATTGGTCAGTGACGGTGACAGTGACAGGGACAGTGACAGGGACACAGTGACAGTGACACAGTGACAGTGACACAGTGACACAGTGACAGTGACACAGTGACACAGTGACAGGGACAGTGACAGTGACACAGTGACAGTGATCTGGTCCCTGAGCTCGCTGCCCTTCGACTGCACCCAGGCACTGCCCGGGCCCAAACCCATTGGTCAGTGACGGTGACAGTGACAGGGACAGTGACAGGGACACAGTGACAGTGACACAGTGACAGTGACACAGTGACACAGTGACAGTGACACAGTGACACAGTGACAGGGACAGTGACAGTGACACAGTGACAGTGATCTGGTCCCTGAGCTCGCTGCCCTTCGACTGCACCCAGGCACTGCCCGGGCCCAAACCCATTGGTCAGTGACGGTGACAGTGACAGGGACAGTGACAGGGACACAGTGACAGTGACACAGTGACAGTGACACAGTGACACAGTGACAGGGACAGTGACAGTGACACAGTGACAGTGATCTGGTCCCTGAGCTCGCTGCCCTTCGACTGCACCCAGGCACTGCCCGGGCCCAAACCCATTGGTCAGTGACGGTGACAGTGACAGGGACAGTGACAGGGACACAGTGACAGTGACACAGTGACAGTGACACAGTGACACAGTGACAGTGACACAGTGACACAGTGACAGGGACAGTGACAGTGACACAGTGACAGTGATCTGGTCCCTGAGCTCGCTGCCCTTCGACTGCACCCAGGCACTGCCCGGGCCCAAACCCATTGGTCAGTGACGGTGACAGTGACAGGGACAGTGACAGGGACACAGTGACAGTGACACAGTGACAGTGACACAGTGACACAGTGACAGTGACACAGTGACACAGTGACACAGTGACACAGTGACAGTGACACAGTGACAGTGATCTGGTCCCTGAGCTCGCTGCCCTTCGACTGCACCCAGGCACTGCCCAGGCCCAAACCCATCGGTCAGTGGCGGTGACAGTGACAGGGACAGTGACAGGGACACAGTGACAGTGACACAGTGACAGTGACACCGTGACACAGTGACAGTGACACAGTGACACAGTGACAGGGACAGTGACAGTGACACAGTGACAGTGATCTGGTCCCTGAGCTCGCTGCCCTTCGACTGTACCCAGGCATTGCCCGGGCCCAAACCCATTGGTCAGTGACGGTGACAGTGACAGGGACAGTGACAGGGACACAGTGACAGTGACACAGTGACAGTGACACAGTGACACAGTGACAGTGACACAGTGACACAGTGACAGGGACAGTGACAGTGACACAGTGACAGTGATCTGGTCCCTGAGCTCGCTGCCCTTCGACTGCACCCAGGCACTGCCCGTGCCCAAACCCATTGGTCAGTGACGGTGACAGTGACAGGGACAGTGACAGGGACACAGTGACAGTGACACAGTGACAGTGACACAGTGACACAGTGACAGTGACACAGTGACACAGTGACACAGTGACAGTGACACAGTGACAGTGATCTGGTCCCTGAGCTCGCTGCCCTTCGACTGCACCCAGGCACTGCCCGGGCCCAAACCCATTGGTCAGTGACGGTGACAGTGACAGGGACAGTGACAGGGACACAGTGACAGTGACACAGTGACAGTGACACAGTGACACAGTGACAGTGACACAGTGACACAGTGACAGGGACAGTGACAGTGACACAGTGACAGTGATCTGGTCCCTGAGCTCGCTGCCCTTCGACTGCACCCAGGCACTGCCCAGGCCCAAACCCATCGGTCAGTGGCGGTGACAGGGACAGGGACAGTGACAGGGACACAGTGACAGTGACACAGTGACAGTGACACAGTGACACAGTGACAGTGACACAGTGACAGTGACACAGTGACAGGGACAGTGACAGTGACACAGTGACAGTGATCTGGTCCCTGAGCTCGCTGCCCTTCGACTGCACCCAGGCACTGCCCGGGCCCAAACCCATTGGTCAGTGACGGTGACAGTGACAGGGACAGTGACAGGGACACAGTGACAGTGACACAGTGACAGTGACACAGTGACACAGTGACAGTGACACAGTGACACAGTGACAGGGACAGTGACAGTGACACAGTGACAGTGATCTGGTCCCTGAGCTCGCTGCCCTTCGACTGCACCCAGGCACTGCCCGGGCCCAAACCCATTGGTCAGTGACGGTGACAGTGACAGGGACAGTGACAGGGACACAGTGACAGTGACACAGTGACAGTGACACAGTGACACAGTGACAGGGACAGTGACAGTGACACAGTGACAGTGATCTGGTCCCTGAGCTCGCTGCCCTTCGACTGCACCCAGGCACTGCCCGGGCCCAAACCCATTGGTCAGTGACGGTGACAGTGACAGGGACAGTGACAGGGACACAGTGACAGTGACACAGTGACAGTGACACAGTGACACAGTGACAGTGACACAGTGACACAGTGACAGGGACAGTGACAGTGACACAGTGACAGTGATCTGGTCCCTGAGCTCGCTGCCCTTCGACTGCACCCAGGCACTGCCCGGGCCCAAACCCATTGGTCAGTGACGGTGACAGTGACAGGGACAGTGACAGGGACACAGTGACAGTGACACAGTGACAGTGACACAGTGACACAGTGACAGTGACACAGTGACACAGTGACACAGTGACACAGTGACAGTGACACAGTGACAGTGATCTGGTCCCTGAGCTCGCTGCCCTTCGACTGCACCCAGGCACTGCCCAGGCCCAAACCCATCGGTCAGTGGCGGTGACAGTGACAGGGACAGTGACAGGGACACAGTGACAGTGACACAGTGACAGTGACACCGTGACACAGTGACAGTGACACAGTGACACAGTGACAGGGACAGTGACAGTGACACAGTGACAGTGATCTGGTCCCTGAGCTCGCTGCCCTTCGACTGTACCCAGGCATTGCCCGGGCCCAAACCCATTGGTCAGTGACGGTGACAGTGACAGGGACAGTGACAGGGACACAGTGACAGTGACACAGTGACAGTGACACAGTGACACAGTGACAGTGACACAGTGACACAGTGACAGGGACAGTGACAGTGACACAGTGACAGTGATCTGGTCCCTGAGCTCGCTGCCCTTCGACTGCACCCAGGCACTGCCCGGGCCCAAACCCATTGGTCAGTGACGGTGACAGTGACAGGGACAGTGACAGGGACACAGTGACAGTGACACAGTGACAGTGACACAGTGACACAGTGACAGTGACACAGTGACACAGTGACACAGTGACAGTGACACAGTGACAGTGATCTGGTCCCTGAGCTCGCTGCCCTTCGACTGCACCCAGGCACTGCCCGGGCCCAAACCCATTGGTCAGTGACGGTGACAGTGACAGGGACAGTGACAGGGACACAGTGACAGTGACACAGTGACAGTGACACAGTGACACAGTGACAGTGACACAGTGACACAGTGACAGGGACCGTGACAGTGACACAGTGACAGTGATCTGGTCCCTGAGCTCGCTGCCCTTCGACTGCACCCAGGCACTGCCCAGGCCCAAACCCATCGGTCAGTGGCGGTGACAGGGACAGGGACAGTGACAGGGACACAGTGACAGTGACACAGTGACAGTGACACAGTGACACAGTGACAGTGACACAGTGACAGTGACACAGTGACAGGGACAGTGACAGTGACACAGTGACAGTGATCTGGTCCCTGAGCTCGCTGCCCTTCGACTGCACCCAGGCACTGCCCGGGCCCAAACCCATTGGTCAGTGACGGTGACAGTGACAGGGACAGTGACAGGGACACAGTGACAGTGACACAGTGACAGTGACACAGTGACACAGTGACAGTGACACAGTGACACAGTGACAGGGACAGTGACAGTGACACAGTGACAGTGATCTGGTCCCTGAGCTCGCTGCCCTTCGACTGCACCCAGGCACTGCCCGGGCCCAAACCCATTGGTCAGTGACGGTGACAGTGACAGGGACAGTGACAGGGACACAGTGACAGTGACACAGTGACAGTGACACAGTGACACAGTGACAGTGACACAGTGACAGTGATCTGGTCCCTGAGCTCGCTGCCCTTCGACTGCACCCAGGCACTGCCCGTGCCCAAACCCATTGGTCAGTGACGGTGACAGTGACAGGGACAGTGACAGGGACACAGTGACAGTGTGTCCTGGTTTAGGACAAATTAGGGGAAATCTCCAAAAGGGAGTCCCCCCCCCAAAAAAGCAAACCTCCAACCACCCCTCCCCCCCCCAATACCGGGTTCGGGAAGGAATTCCTTGGAGGAGCAAAGTGGAAAACAAAACCTATTTATTGGCAAATAACAAAAGAACACTCCCCAACACAAGAAAAGAAAAGAAAACCAGTCAGTGTTGTGGAGGGTGCCGAGCGTCTCTCGCAGGCTCCGGAGGTCCCGCCGGACGTCCCAGGTCAGGTCCGGAGCCGGTCCAGTATCTTCAGGGGAGGGTAAGAAAGAGAGGACGAAAGAAAAGGGAAAAAAAAACAGCGCAGAAAGCAGCAAAGGGAAAAAAGGCAGCTATCAGCTAGGGCTAAGGCAGTAGCAAGCAAGCGAAGTAGCAAGCAGAAGCAAGCAGGCCAGCCAGCCAAGCAGCCAAAAGCCAAAAGCAAAAAGCCAAAGTACACCCAGTCCCCCTCCCTCCTCCCTCCCCGCCCCGCCGCGGCAAGACGGCCGGGGGGGGGGGGGGTGAAAAGAGAGAGAGAGAGAGAGAAAAAAAACACAGCTGCCAGACATAATACACGATATTGGGATAAAAGCGGTCATCCCATGACACTCCACCCCTTATCCCATATCGTGAACATACAATAAAAACTTTCATTTCACTTACTCACACCTTTGACACTTATGCATTCCTCTCATCTTACTTGCTCAGACCTTTGACACTTACAGTTTCCTTCTGTCTCACATTCAGCAAACAATGGCATTCATATATGAGCCTTATCCCACAATCAGGTCTCCCTGAGGTACACACCGTGTTGTTCCATCTTTCTGCATTACCCACCATGTATAACCTGGTCCTTGAGCAAAGACAATCCCACGGATGGGTTTGTCTGCACTCGAGGCAGGGTTGATCCATACTGTCTTTCCCAACAAACCTCTGACATGGGCCACTGGGGCTTTATCCCCATCTACTATATTAAGGAGCTCAGACTGAGCAGGACCCGCTCGGTTGGTGGAACCTCGAGTATTAACTAACCAGGTAGCCTTCGCCAAATGCTGCTCCCAGTTTTTTTAAAGACCCCCCACCCAACGCTTTTAAGGTGGTTTTTAACAATCCGTTATACCTTTCCACTTTCCCTGCAGCTGGTGCATGATAGGGGATATGGTACACCCACTCGATGCCATGTTCCCTAGCCCAAGTATTAATAAGATTGTTTTTAAAATGAGTTCCATTATCCGACTCAATTCTCTCAGGAGTACCGTGCCTCCAAAGGACCTGCTTTTCAAGGCCCAAGATAGTGTTACGAGCTGTGGCATGAGACACAGGGTAGGTTTCCAACCATCCCGTGGTGGCTTCTACCATGGTCAGTACATAGCGCTTGCCTTGGCGGGTTTGAGGCAGCGTGATGTAATCAATCTGCCAGGCCTCCCCATACTTGTACTTAGACCACCGCCCACCGTACCAGAGGGGCTTCACCCGTTTGGCCTGCTTAATGGCAGCACACGTCTCACAGTCACGAATAACCTGAGAGATACTGTCCATGGTTAGATCCACCCCTCGGTCTCGTGCCCATTTATAGGTGGCATCTCTACCCTGGTGGCCTGAGGCATCATGGGCCCATCGTGCCAAGAATAACTCTCCCTTATGCTCCCAGTCGAGATCTATCTTCAACTCCCCTATCTTTGCAGCTTGATGTACTTGCTGGTTGTTTCGCTGCTCTTCATTAGCTCTACTTCTGGGGACATGGGCATCTACATGCCGAACCTTCACAGGTAACTTCTCTAACCGTGTAGCGATATCTTTCCACTCTTCCGCAGCCCAAATTGGTTTTCCTCTGCGCTGCCAGTTCGCCTCTTTCCATCTCTTCAGCCATCCCCATAGAGCGTTGGCTACCATCCAAGAATCGGTATACAAATAGAGCCTTGGCCACTTCTCTCTCTCTGCAATACCTAGGGCCAGTTGAATAGCTTTGATTTCAGCAAATTGACTGGATTCACCTTCTCCTTCAGTAGCCTCCGCAACCCGTCGAGTGGGACTCCATACAGCTGCTTTCCACCTCCGTTTCATCCCTATGACGCGACAAGAACCATCGGTGAATAAAGCGTAACGTGTTTCTTCTGCTGGCAACTGATTGTATGGCGGAGCTTCCTCAACCCGAGTCACTGGCTCTTGTTCCTCATCCGCGACACTGAAGCTCTCACCTTCGGGCCAATTTGTAATTATTTCCAGGATCCCAGGGCGATTTAACTTCCCAATTCGAGCGCGCTGCGTAATGAGGGCAATCCACTTACTCCAAGTAGCATTGGTGGCATGGTGGGTAGAGGGAACCTTTCCTCTGAACATCCATCCCAGCACCGGTAGTCGGGGTGCCAGAAGAAGTTGTGCCTCTGTACCAATCACCTCCGAGGCAGCTTGGACTCCTTCATAGGCGGCCAAGATTTCTTTTTCTGTTGGGGTATAGTTATCTTCAGACCCCCTGTAGCTCCGACTCCAAAATCCCAATGGTCGGCCTCGGGTCTCGCCAGGCACCTTCTGCCAAAGGCTCCAGGACAGACCATGGCTCCCGGCCGCAGAGTAGAGCACGTTCTTCACATCTGGTCCCGTCCTAACTGGACCAAGGGCTACAGCATGAGCGATCTCCTGCTTGATTTGGACAAATGCTTGCTGCTGCTCAGGGCCCCAATGGAAGTCGTTCTTCTTGCGGGTAACCAGATAAAGGGGTCTCACAATCTGACTATACTCAGGGATGTGCATCCTCCAGAAACCTATAGCGCCTAAGAAGGCTTGTGTTTCCTTCTTATCAGTTGGTGGGGACATAGCAGTGATTTTGTTAATAACATCCGCAGGAATCTGACGCCGTCCGTCTTGCCACTTCACCCCCAAGAACTGAATTTCTCGGGCAGGTCCCTTGACTTTGCTCTTCTTAATGGCAAATCCAGCTTTCAGGAGAATATGAATGATCTTCTCTCCTTTCTCGAACACTTCCATTGCCGTGTTCCCCCAAACAATGATATCATCAATATATTGCAAATGTTCTGGAGCCTCACCCTCTTCTAGTGCAGTCTGGATCAGTCCATGACAGATGGTAGGACTGTGTTTCCACCCCTGGGGCAGTCGGTTCCAGGTATACTGCACTCCCCTCCATGTAAAAGCAAACTGAGGCCTGCATTCTGTTGCCAGAGGGATGGAGAAAAACGCGTTAGCAATATCGATGGTCGCGTACCACTTTGCTGCCTTGGACTCCAGCTCGTACTGCAGTTCCAGTATGTCTGGTACAGCCGCACTCAGTGGTGGAGTCACTTCATTCAAGGCACGATAGTCCACAGTCAATCTCCATTCTCCGTCAGATTTTCGCATGGGCCAGATAGGGCTGTTAAAGGGTGAGTGGGTTTTACTGACCACCCCTTGGCTCTCCAGCTCTCGAATCATCTTGTGGATGGGGATCACGGCATCTCGATTTGTCCGGTACTGCCTGCGGTGCACTGTCGAAGTGGCAATTGGTACTCGTTGCTCCTCTACCTTCAAGAGTCCTACTGCAGATGGGCTCTCTGATAGTCCAGACAAGGTATTCAATTGTTTAATACCCTCTATCTCCACTGCAGCTATTCCAAAAGCCCACCTGAATCCCTTAGGATCTTTGTAATAGCCATTCCGGAAGAAGTCTATGCCCAAAATACACGGAGCCTCTGGACCAGTCACAATCGGATGTTCCTGCCACTCCTTCCCAGTCAAGCTCACCTCAGCTTCCAACAAAGTCAACTGTTGTGATCCCCCCGTCACTCCAGCAATGGAAACAGGTTCTGTCCCCACGTGTTCTGATGGCATTAAGGTACACTGTGATCCAGTGTCAACCAATGCTTCATAGTTTTGTGGCTCTGATGTGCCAGGCCATCTGATCCACACCTTCCAAAAAACCCGATTTTCCCGTGCCTCTTCCTGGCTAGAGGCAGGGCCCCTCTAAGCCAGATTGTCCTTCTTTCCTTGGACGTATGCCTTAGAAGTTCCTTCAAGTGGATCGGACAGGTCATCGTCATACTCAACATCTCGGCTGCGAGCAACCGGAGCTGCCCTCTTTTTGGTGATACTTCCTCTTCTCTTCAAATCACGCACCCGTTGTGCCAAAACAGTGGTGGGTTCTCCATCCCATCTCCTCATGTCTTCTCCAGACTCACGCAGAAAGGCCCATAACTCAGCCCGTGGGGTGTACCTTCTCTCCCCATCAAAGGAGCGCCAGCGTTGGATACCAGGGCCTCTAATTTGCACAGCCGAGATTTGAATAAGGTCCTCCTTAATCTCTTCCCGGAGTTTCTTATGATTCTCCTCTATTTTGTCCTCTAGTTTTCGCAGTTGGGTTTCCACTGCTGCAATTCTGGCATGAGTTGGTCCATGCACAGCATCTGCATACGCTCGAAGCTTCTTCGCCATATCAAGCACAGTCTCATATGTATCATCCCGCTTCATTATTGCCAGGGCAGAAGCATATTCAGGTGGCCCAAGTCGCACAAGTTTCCTCCACATTACAGGTGTGCATGGTACCAGGTCCGGATTCCTAGTTGTTATATCATCTGAGAAAATGAGCTCTGCCACTGCCATCTCTCTCAGGCGTTGGATCCCCTGTTCTATGGTCTTCCACCGTGTCTGCTGCATATAGAGATCATCGGCACATAAGTATCTTTGTGCTACACTATCCAGGACCCGTTCCCAGAGGCTGTGAGGGCTAGCCCTGCTCATCATACCTTGATCGATGACAGTATCATGCGACAGGGATCCCAAATGCCTCGCTTCAGTACCATCCAAAATCGTAACCTCCCCTGCAGCATCCCAGAGGCGGACTAACCAACTAATTATAGATTCGTCAGGTTGTCGTCTGTAATCCTTTCTTAGGCCTCTGAGGTCCTTCAGAGAAAAGGAGTCAGTATTAGCTCCAGAATCTGTGCCCCTTGATGTGGCCTCTGATTTTGGTGAGGGTCCTTCTCCTGCATCATCATCATCATCTTCCACCTTTCGATCGGTCTTGCCTTTACACTTTCCACCTCTTGTATTAGCTGTGACAGCCATGGGTTGAGGCCTATTGTCTGATTCAGCTGCTAGCCTGGAGCCTGGGATGTTAGCTGCAGCCTGGGTCACTGGGATAGTAACTAACTTATCTCCCTGTTCCCTGTCTGCTATCTGCTGCTCCACAGTATCTAGCAGAGTACGGTAAACAAACGCCAAGGCCCAGCTCACTGCAGTAAGCCTTTCCTCCTTAGTATTACCATGGCACTTCTCCTTCAAATACTTTGCCACCTCGACTGGGTTCTGAATTTGATCGGATGGAAAGTCCCAGTCTATAGGATCAGAGAATTCCTTTAAAGTCTGGCCCATATCCTCCCATTTCCCACTCCAGTCAAGATTTTTCCTGCTTTGTTTTACTCCAGAATCAGGAGTCTCTCTAACCCCTCTAGAAATCTCGGCTTTCATTTTATATACACTCCAGACAGTATAGAAAAGGCTTAATAAATTAAATGCCAGAAAGATGGTTTCTTTTAAACTCAGGGGAAATTCAACATTTCCTAATAGAGACGTCAACAATTTGGAGGAGAAGGAAGACAAAAGCTGAGAAGCCCCTTCGCCTTCTTCTCCCCAAACAAACTGAGTACACAGCCATGACAACAATCCATACATTCCTGAAACAAAGTCCAGCATTTTTATCCGACAAATCCACACACATAAGACCAGCCCAATGACTATTCTGGTTAGTGCCCCCCGCTTACAAAAGCTACTTATTAGGGACAACACAAGAGCTATTTTTGGGTAAGGAAATAACCCTAGGGACCACAAAGATATTAAAGCTTCAAAAACCCCTAGGGACCAGAAATACCGGCAAGCTTCCACCCCAAATGACATTCTGAATTACCAATATGCCCACCAAACAACCAAAACCAAAATATTATTGTTATAGGTTTGTTTTCCACTGTCTTTGGCCTCCTTTTCCCGGCCAATGCACCAAAAAGGATGTCCTGGTTTAGGACAAATTAGGGGAAATCTCCAAAAGGGAGTCCCCCCCCCAAAAAAGCAAACCTCCAACCACCCCTCCCCCCCCCAATACCGGGTTCGGGAAGGAATTCCTTGGAGGAGCAAAGTGGAAAACAAAACCTATTTATTGGCAAATAACAAAAGAACACTCCCCAACACAAGAAAAGAAAAGAAAACCAGTCAGTGTTGTGGAGGGTGCCGAGCGTCTCTCGCAGGCTCCGGAGGTCCCGCCGGACGTCCCAGGTCAGGTCCGGAGCCGGTCCAGTATCTTCAGGGGAGGGTAAGAAAGAGAGGACGAAAGAAAAGGGAAAAAAAAACAGCGCAGAAAGCAGCAAAGGGAAAAAGGCAGCTATCAGCTAGGGCTAAGGCAGTAGCAAGCAAGCGAAGTAGCAAGCAGAAGCAAGCAGGCCAGCCAGCCAAGCAGCCAAAAGCCAAAAGCAAAAAGCCAAAGTACACCCAGTCCCCCTCCCTCCTCCCTCCCCGCCCCGCCGCGGCAAGACGGCCGGGGGGGGGGGGGTGAAAAGAGAGAGAGAGAGAGAGAAAAAAAACACAGCTGCCAGACATAATACACGATATTGGGATAAAAGCGGTCATCCCATGACACTGTGACACAGTGACAGTGACACAGTGACACAGTGACAGTGACACAGTGACACAGTGACAGGGACAGTGACAGTGACACAGTGACAGTGATCTGGTCCCTGAGCTCGCTGCCCTTCGACTGCACCCAGGCACTGCCCGGGCCCAAACCCATCGGTCAGTGATGGTGACAGTGACAGGGACAGTGACAGGGACACAGTGACACTGACACAGTGACACAGTGACAGTGACAGTGACACAGTGACAGTGACACAGTGACACAGTGACACAGTGACACAGTGACAGTGACACAGTGACAGTGACAGTGACAGTGACAGTGACAGTGACACAGTGACAGTGACAGTCAGTGACACAGGGGGTGTGGTGACACTGACACTGTCCCCATGTCCCAGGGGGTGTGGTGACAGTGACACTGACGCTGTCCCCATGTCCCCATGTCCCAGGGGGTGTTGTGATCTTCGCTGTGAACTCGCTGCTGTACCTGAACCCGAGCGTGCCCCCGTACGGGGTGGCCCTGAACAGCCTCACCTGCGGCACCACCGTGTTCCCGCTCCGTGAGTGACACTGTCCCCTGTCACTGTCCCTGTCCCTGTCCCTGTCCCTGTCCCCATCCCTCCTGTGATTGTCCCCATCCCTGTCCCCATCCCTGTCCCCATCCCTGCTGTGACTGTCCCTGGCCCTGTCCCCATCCCTGTCCCCATCCCTGCTGTGATTGTCCCCATCCCTGTCCCCATCCCTGTCCCCATCCCTGCTGTGACTGTCCCTGGCCCTGTCCCCATCCCTGTCCCCATCCCTGTCCCTGTCCCCGTCCCCCCTGTGACTGTCCCTGTCCCTGTCCCATCCCTGTCCCTGTCCCCACCTCACTGTCCCTGTCCCCGTCGCTGTCCCCAGGGGTCCAGGAGGGCGTGAGGATGACTCTGGACTGTGCCCAGGCCACCTTCATCTCCTATGACAAGATGGTCCTCTCGCTCGGGGGGGAAATGTGAGTCTGGGGGGGGTCTGGGGGTGTCCCTAAGGATTTGGGGTGTCCCCAAGGGTTTGGGGTGTCCCCTGTCCCCCCAAAGTGCCACCCCCTGTCCCAGCCGTGTCCTGGCACTGCTCAGGGACAGGATGTGCTCTGTCCCCTCCTGCCCTGGGACGCCCCTGGGGGTTTCCGGGTTGATTTTGGGGGTCTCCAGGGATTGTGGGGGGTCCTGGGGGTGTCCCCAAGGGTTTGTCACCCCTCGAAGTGTCCCTTTGCCGTCCCAGCTCTGTGCTGACGCTGATCACGGACGGGATGCGCTCCGTGCGCTCCTTCCACTTCGACAAAGCGGCCGCGTCCGTCCTGAGCACCTGTGTGAGCACCTGGGGACACCGGGGACACCTGGGGACAGTGGGGACAGTGGGGACAGTGGGGACAGTGGGGACAGTGGGGACACCTGGGGACAGCTGGGGACAGTGGGGACAGTGGGGACAGCGGGGACAGTCTGGGGACAGTGGGGACATCTGGGGACAGTGGGGACACCTGGGGACACCTGGGGACAGTGGGGACACCTGGGGACACCTGGGGACAGCTGGGGGACAGTCTGGGGACAGTGGGGACAGTGGGGACAGCTGGGGACAGCTGGGGACAGTGGGGACAGCGGGGACAGTGGGGACAGTGGGGACACCTGGGGACACCTGGGGACAGTGGGGACAGTGGGGACAGTCTGGGGACAGTGGGGACAGCGGGGACAGTGGGGACAGTGGGGACACCTGGGGACAGCTGGGGACAGTGGGGACAGTGGGGACAGCGGGGACAGTCTGGGGACAGTGGGGACAGTCTGGGGACAGTGGGGACACCTGGGGACACCTGGGGACAGTGGGGACAGTGGGGACAGCGGGGACAGTCTGGGGACAGTGGGGACAGTGGGGACAGTGGGGACAGCGGGGACAGTGGGGACAGTGGGGACACCTGGGGACACCTGGGGACAGTGGGGACAGTGGGGACAGCGGGGACAGTCTGGGGACAGTGGGGACACCTGGGGACACCTGGGGACAGTGGGGACAGTGGGGACAGCGGGGACAGTCTGGGGACAGTGGGGACAGTGGGGACAGTGGGGACAGCGGGGACAGTGGGGACAGTGGGGACACCTGGGGACACCTGGGGACAGTGGGGACAGTCTGGGGACAGTGGGGACACCTGGGGACAGTGGGGACAGTGGGGACAGTGGGGACAGTGGGGACAGCTGGGGACAGTGGGGACAGTGGGGACAGCGGGGACAGTCTGGGGACAGTGGGGACACCTGGGGACAGTGGGGACAGTGGGGACAGCGGGGACAGTCTGGGGACAGTGGGGACACCTGGGGACAGTGGGGACAGTGGGGACAGTGGGGACAGCTGTGTGAGCACCTGGGGACACCGAGGACACCTGGGGACACCTGGGGACAGTGGGGACAGTGGGGACAGTGGGGACAGTGGGGACAGTCTGGGGACAGTGGGGACACCTGGGGACAGTGGGGACAGTGGGGACACCTGGGGACACCTGGGGATACCTGGGGACACCTGGGGACACCTGGGGACAGCTGGGGACAGTGGGGACAGTGGGGACAGTGGGGACAGTGGGGACAGTCTGGGGATACCTGGGGACAGTCTGGGGACAGTGGGGACAGCGGGGACAGCGGGGACAGTCTGGGGACAGTGGGGACACCTGGGGACAGTGGGGACAGTCTGGGGAGAGTGGGGACAGTCTGGGGACACCTGGGGACAGTGGGGACACCTGGGGACAGTGGGGACAGTGGGGACAGTCTGGGGACACCTGGGGACACCTGGGGACAGTGGGGATAGTCTGGGGACACCTGGGGACACACCTGGGGGCACCTGGGAACACCTGGGGACAGTCTGGGGACATTTGGGGGACAGTGGGGACACCTGGGCACACCTGGGGACAGTGGGGACACCTGGGGACAGTGGGGACACCTGGGGACAGTCTGGGGACAGTCTGGGGGACACTTGGGCACACCTGGGAGCCGGGGGGCACTTGGGGACAGTCTGGGAACACCTGGGGGACACCTGGGGAATACCTGGAGGACAGTCTAGGGACACCTGGTGACACTGAGGTGACGCTGAGGTGACGCTGAGGTGGCACTCAGGTGGCACTGAGGTGGCGCTGTGTCCCCAGATGGCGCCCCTGGAGCCGGGCCGTCTGTTCCTGGGGACACCTGGGGACGCTTTGAGGACACTGGGCACACCTGGGCACACCTGGGCACACCTGGTGACACTGAGGTGGCACTGAGGTGGCACTCAGGTGGCGCTGTGTCCCCAGATGGCGCCCCTGGAGCCGGGCCGTCTGTTCCTGGGCTCCCGCCTGGGCAGCTCGCTCCTGCTCAGGGACACGGAGAAGCTGCAGGAGGCGCCCGCGGGCACGGGCCCGACAGACAGGTGAGAGCCTGGCACACCTGGGCACCCCGAACACACCTGGGCACCCCAAACACACCTGGGCACCCCAAATGCACCTGGGGATCCCCAGAATGAACCTGGGCACCCCAAATCCACCTGGGATCCCCAAAATTCACTTGGGCACCCCAAAATCCACCTGGGGATCCCCAGAATCCACTTGGGGATCCCCAAAATTCCCTTGGGCCCCCCAAATCTGTCCCTGTCCCCCCAGGAGGAGCCCCCGGTGAAGAAGAAACGCTCGGAGCCATCGGGGCCGTGGGCAGGTGGGGACACCTGGGGACACCTGGGGGTAATGGGGGACAGTGGGGACACCTGGGGATATCTGGGGACACCAGGGGACAGTCTGGGGACACTGGGGGTACTGGGGGACACTTGGGGGGACACCTGGGGACAGCTTGGGGACACCTGGGGGCACCTGAGGACAGTCCAGGGAGACAGTGGGAACACCTTGGGGACTACTGGGGACACCTGGGGACAGTGGGGACACTTGAGGGCGCCTGGAGGCACTTGGAGACACCTGGGGACGGTCTGGGGACATTTGGGGACACTTAGGGGCACCTGGGGGACACCTTGGGGATACCTAGGGGGCACCTGGGGACAGTGTGGGGACACCTGGGGGATAGTCTAGGACAGCTGGGGGACACCTGGGGACACCTGAGGACACTTTGACGGTACTGGGGACATTTGGGGACACCCTGGGGACACCTGGGGGGATTTGGGGACCCTGGGGACAGTCTGGGCACACCTGGGGACCTGTAGAGACACTGGGGGGGTGACACAGGTGACAGCAGGTGACAGTAGGTGACGCAGGTGTGTCCCTGTGCCAGGAGGGTGACACAGATGACACAGGGCGACCCAGGTGACAGTGGGTGACAGAGGTGACAGTGGGCGACAGTAGGTGACAGTGGGTGACACAGAGTGACAGTGGGTGACAATGGGTGGCAGTAGGTGACAGGTGTGTCCCTGTGCCAGGAGGGTGACAGTGGGTGACACAGGGGTGACAGTAGGTGACACAGGGTGACCCAGGTGTGTCCCTGTGGCAGGGGGGTGACAGCAGGTGACAGTGGGTGACAATGGGTGGCACAGGTGACAGAGGGGTGACAGTAGGTGACAGTAGGGGACACAGGGGTGGCACAGGTGACAGTGGGTGACACAGGTAACAGGTGTGTCCCTGTCCCAGGGGGGTGACAGTGGGTGACAGCAGGTGACACAGGTGACACTGCTGTCCCTGTCCCAGTGGGTGACAGTGGGTGACAGTGGGTGACAATGGGTGACACAGGTGACACAGGTGACACTGCTGTCCCTGTCCCAGGGGGGTGACAGTGGGTGACAGTGGGTGACAGTGGGTGACAGTGGGTGACAGTGGGTGGCACAGGTGGCACAGGTGACACAGGTGACACTGCTGTCCCTGTCCCAGGGGGGTGACAGTGGGTGACAGCAGGTGACACTGGGTGACACTGGGTGACAGTGGGTGACAATGGGTGACACAGGTGACACAGGTGACACTGCTGTCCCTGTCCCAGGGGGTGACAGTGGGTGACAGTGGGTGACAGTGGGTGACAATGGGTGACACAGGTGACACAGGTGACACTGCTGTCCCTGTCCCAGGGGGGTGACAGTGGGTGACAGTGGGTGACAGTGGGTGACAATGGGTGACACAGGTGACACAGGTGACACTGCTGTCCCTGTCCCAGGGGGATGACAGTGGGTGACAGTGGGTGACAGTGGGTGACAGTGGGTGGCACAGGTGGCACAGGTGACACAGGTGACACAGGTGACACTGCTGTCCCTGTCCCAGTGGGTGACAGTGGGTGACAGTGGGTGACAGTGGGTGACACAGGTGGCACAGGTGACACTGCTGTCCCTGTCCCAGGGGGTGACAGTGGGTGACAGTGGGTGACAGTGGGTGACAGTGGGTGACAATGGGTGACACAGGTGACACAGGTGACACTGCTGTCCCTGTCCCAGGGGGATGACAGTGGGTGACAGTGGGTGACAGTGGGTGACAGTGGGTGGCACAGGTGGCACAGGTGACACAGGTGACACAGGTGACACTGCTGTCCCTGTCCCAGGGGGGTGACAGTGGGTGACAGTGGGTGACAGTGGGTGACAATGGGTGACACAGGTGACACAGGTGACACTGCTGTCCCTGTCCCAGGGGGATGACAGTGGGTGACAGTGGGTGACAGTGGGTGACAGTGGGTGGCACAGGTGGCACAGGTGACACAGGTGACACAGGTGACACTGCTGTCCCTGTCCCAGGGGGGAAGCCGCAGGCTCAGGACGAGGTGGACGAGATCGAGGGTACGGCAGCGAGGCGGCCTCGGGGACACAGCTGGCCACCTACTCCTTCGAGGTACTGTCACTGTCACCTGTGTCACCTGTGTCACCTGTGTGTCACCTTCCTGTCATCTGTGTCACCTCCCCGTGACACACATCTGGCCACCTACTCCTTCGAGGTAATGTCATTGTCATTGTCGCCTGTGTCACATCCCTGTCACCTGTGTGTCCCCTGTCA